GGGTTCTAAAGCCCAATAAGAACTTTTAGGCCCAATATATCTTCCTTGTTTATTTACGAGATATATATAAACGAATAAAGTTTTAGGGTTTTCGTAATTGTGGAAACGAATATTGTTTGGGGATTTGAGTTATTACCGTCGGGGAGCCATCATGTTGTCAGAGATGATAATCACGTCGTCGGAAAATTCAGTAGAGAAGAAGATGAGCAAGAAGGAGGCGAAGAAAGAAGCTGCGAAACTTGAGAAACTAGGCCGCAAACAGGAACGAGAACAAGAAGAAGAAGAAGAAGCCATTCGTACACTTTCTCCGGAGGAAGAAGACGAATCGTTTTTCAAGAACTACGGAGACGTCGAATTCGCTGATTTACAATCGACGTCGAAGTGGAGAGAGGCTCGTAAAGGAAAAGAGTGGACTGATGTGAAGGATTTGGTTGAAGAGAAGGTTGGATTAGAGGACACGTAAACACGAATCGGCCAGTTTCTAGCAAATTAGGTTTTGTGATATTGAGACAAAGTGGAGGAGGAAGAGGTGAACGAACTCACGGTTCAATGCGTTGTTACCGAGTCGAAGGAGACGAAAGTTAGCGTGAAGATGATTAAATTTCTCAAGCAGTTGAGTGTTGAATCCGTTGTCGATGTTATCGGTGTCGTCGCTTTACCTAAAGATCCTTTGATTGGAACAACACAACAGGTTAATTTGGTTTTCTTTTTCATCTTTTTGGTTTGATTGTGAATATGAAAACAACATTAACTTAGTGTGTTTATTATTGTAGGTTGAAATTCAAGTGAGAAAAGTGTTTTGTGTCAATAGAGTCAAGTTACCTAAATTACCACTTAATGTCGAGGATGCTTCTCGAAGTAAAGCAGATATTCAGGTAGTATAGTATATCTGGTTTGGTGGTATAAGTGAGAATTATGATAGTTTGTGTTCATAAGAAGAGCTCTTGCTTGCATGACAAGTATCTGATAGATTTGATGTTTCTATGATTGTTGAAGGCTGGGAAACCTGGTGCCTATCAGGATACACGTTTGAAGTATAGAGTGATCGACCTTAGAACACAACCTAATCAAGCCATTTTCCGCATTCAGGGCCAAGTCCAAATTGTAAGCTTTCTTTGAGCCTATTTAGTCGTTTGTAAGGACAAGTGTGTGTCATGGTTTAATTGGTTTGTTGTTATTGCTGAACATTAGCTAATGATTTGTGTAGGCGTTCAGAGAATTTTGAGTATCAAAGGGTTTTGTTGAAATCCACACACCGAAATTGATAGCTGGTAGTAGTGAAGGAGGTTCTGCTGTGTTTAAGTTGAACTACAAAGGGAAGGATGCTTGTCTGGCTCAGTCTCCTCAGCTTCATAAGCAGATGGCAATATGTGGTGACTTTCGCCGCATCTTTGAGATTGGTCCTGTTTTCAGAGCAGAGGAGATTGATAATTGGTTATCTTTGATGTGTTTATAGGAAGCTGGTGAGGAGATTGATCCTCTTGGTGATCTAAATACAGAATCCGAGAGAAAACTTGGCAAGCTCGTTGTGAATTCTACACCATGCCTTGTGCAGACGATCCTCTTTACTGCAACTCATTCGATGTCTTCATCAGAGGTGCTTGCCTCTTTTAGTTTTCGGTTTTTAACTTGATGTGTCTTCGCAACAATCATTTGGTACTAAATTTGCGGTTTTGGTTCTAGGCGAGGAGATCATATCGGGAGCTCAACGTATCCATGACCCAGAATTATTAGAGAAACGCGCAAAGGAACACGAGATTAATGTCAACACATTATCAACATACATCGATTTATTCAGGTAAACCAACACAAACTGAACTGAACCCAATCAATTTGGTTCCTACTATTGGTTATATCAGAGTTGATGATAATAAATGTTTACAGGTACGGTGCATCTCCTCATGGGAGATTCGGAGCGGGGCTGGAGCGAGTGGTGATGCTATTTTGCGCCCTCGATAACATCCGCAAACCATCACTCTTCCCTCGTGACCCTCAAAGACTAGCTCCCTAATATCATTTCAAGTCTCAAAGCTATAAGCGTGGATAATTGCCAGATTTTTTCCTCATGAATCTTGATTTAGTTTTATGACAATGTTATAAAGGGCCTTGAGAATGAATATCACATTTGTCACAGTAACAAAACTGAGATATTTTGAGCGTTTAAGTAAGTGAGATTATTATTGAGTTTAGAAAATATGTTGTCGTATTTGTTAAAAGTTGATTTACCAGTGCATAAGTAGAAAACGTGCGTTTCGTGAATGCATCTCATGAATGCAGTCTCGAAATTCGAAGTTTGGAAACAAGCCATGGACTGCAAAATCGTGACTGCTTCTCTTCCTTGTATTATTTGCCTTGTATTAAAAAAGGAAAAATAGAACATAGCAGCAGCTTCATACTTGTTTTTAGAGAGTTCTTATAATTTTGATTCTGTCTAGTTACTACTCCCATCGATGGAAACATAGAGAGAACTGAAACAAGTGTCGTTTCTTTACAAAACAGAGCAGCTTCTTACATTTTTCTGTTTGACAGATGTATTGTAGCAAAAAGCCATGACGAATAAAAAGAATTACAAGATCTTGAGAATGTTCCTTGCCTTACAAGGCGTTGTTTGATAAGTTGAGCGCAATTAGTTCCTTCAAAAGACCGATGGATTCAGGATTAATCTGTCCTTCAATTCTGTTTCCAGAGAAGTCAGTGGTGCTATATGAAGTAAGAACCTTCCCCTGTTCCATGAATAAACCTTTGTATTGCAAATCTATACGATCTTCGTAACTGTAGTAAGCATCTTTGAACGGAGGATTAGGACTTCCAAATCAGGCAAAACCTTGAGCCAAAAAGGAAAAGTATCTTTAATTATGTTGTGCTCAACACTTCAAAAGCTCTAGAGACGAACAATTAAGGAAAGACTTTGGAAGCTTTCCCGTTAGTTGATTGTAGCCAACGTCAAGTAAGCGCAGTGTGGAACCGGCATAGAATATGCCTGGTAGACTTCCCTTCAAACTGTTCTTCCGGATACTCATTGACGTCAAGTTACTCAGACATTGAGGATTTGGACCGGTTAAGTTGTCGTGCGCTAGATCAAGACCCATGAGAGATCGAGTTGCATGTTGAGAGAGGTATCTGTCCCGTGAAATGATTATCCCCGCGGAGAAGGAGATGATAGAGAGTGGTAGATTAGGAAGTGGTCCTTCAAAATTGTTTGAATCCAAATATAACATCCGCACTGATGAATTTACTAAAATATTCGCAGAACCTTCGATACAAGTGAACGAAATTTTTTAATAAACACCGAGCTGAGAAGGCTCCATAACCACGCAGGGACTTTTCCTTTAGCCTAGATGAAGAAGAGTTGGAAACTTCAATGAAACCGGTGAGATGGTTTTCTTTCAAATCAAGAAAAGACAAGAAAGGCATGGTGAAGATAGAAGAAGACATGCTTCCAAAGAAGTGATTATGGGAAAAGCGTAAATCCGAGAACTTGGTTAGATTATTATGTACAAATGGGAAGTAACTACCTGTGAGCTTATTACGGGAAAGGTCTAAAACGGAAAGCATGCTTAGGTTACTAAATGAGGAAGGAATTTGACCTATGAAACCATTAGAGGTAAGAGATAGAACAAATATCTAATCGGTTAGATTGCCGAAAACTGAAGGGAGTGAGGAGGAGGTGAAGTCATTGTAAGAGAGACTGAGGTAACTGAGATGATGCAAACTGAAGTGGCTACTGTTGGGATTCAGAGTTCCACTGAGACAGCCACTTAGTATAAACTAGTTGTAGCTTCGTGACCACACCTGTTGTATTATCGCATTGTACTCCATTGAAGTAGTCAGCCTGGTTGCAACCGCGAGAATCAAACTCATTCTTGAACTGCGTAAGGGTTTCAATCTGGTGGGGATCACTAGCAACAAGACCAACAATAGGATATTTTATAGTGAAGATGCTCGACGACACGGAGACACAACAGAATAAGAGTACCGAGAGAGAATTCAAAAGCATATGCGAACCTCGACATTAAGGCCGTTGGAAAACTATTAAGATGAAAAATATATTTAACCAAAGAATGGAGAGAATTGGTACATAGAACATCATCGAACTCTTAGAGCTTTCTAAAAGACTTCCTAGTGTGAATTGGAGATGCATTGTGGCACGTTCTTGGAGTTGAATGATGTGGAAAATGTGTAATTTGATGAATTCAATGAAATATTAGTCTAAACAAACACAATTATGAATAGACAAAAAAGAGGTTATTTTATTAGTACATTCTCTTGGTCTGAACATAATTTGTTGACGTCGAAATATCTTTTCAATTCAAACCTAAATTCTCATGAATCTTGATTTAGTCTTCTATATGAGAATGTGATAAAGAGCTTTGAGAATGAATGTCACATTTCACATCAACAAAGCCGATATATTCAAATGTTTAACCGAGTCAGATTATGTTGGACAAATGAAATCTAGTGAATTTTTGAGTTTAGAAAAGATTAAGAATCAATTAAAATGAAACAGAGAAAGTATATCTTTGATGAAAACATCAAAGGAATTAATGTAACATGATTGATCATCTGCACTAGTTATAAAGAAAAATAACGATGCTGCTTGAGGATATCGATGTAACATGTAGAAACCAATGTCGTTCATGTTTTGATTACCGAAATCAAGAGTTAGAACAACATTGGTACTAGGAGATACACAACTTAACATGAAAATGATATCAAATAAAAAGCCAATGGGTGTGAATGGTGTGGAATAGAGTTAAAACTAGGGGAGATGGAGAAAAAAAAATGAGCGAAAAAATATTAAAGTTGGAGTAACTTTTTTGGGAAATTAGGGGAAATAGTAGCACACAAAATTTTTATAATTAGATGACTAGCCATAATATTAGAGCATGGCTATGATATATTCCGTAAACAAACCTCTGGTATCGACTTGGTTTGGTATTACTTGTATGGGGGAACATAGGTGGCGGTTTGTGTGAAGTTATAGCGTGAGAAATGTCTATGTTAAGCTGTTCTGGTTCTTCAAACGCACCAGATGAGCCATATAGAATTTATCTGCTATTTGAAAAGAATGTTTTAAGTCAATGACACGTATCATAATAACTTAGCAGTTGTAGTCGTGTAATTGTTTGGGAACAAGTAAATAAATTAATAATGTATGATTGAGGGTTGTAACAGAAGGTTCGTGCCTAGGAACAACCAAAGACTTTGCCATGGGTGAATCTAGCAGGTTAGTGGTTGCTCAACAAGGTTTCCACAAGACTGATAAGGGTAACAGTGAAGACCCATCGGATGCAGAGGTCGACTCTTCTGATATTTCCTCTTCTGATCATGATGAGATGGATGTGTACGAAGAGGGAGAAATCAGAAACCTGGCCGGTAAAGACAAACTTTGGAGGAAAGTGGGTACTTC